AGGCTAAACTTTTAGCTTCAGTAATGTATACGCCATATGGCCGACATTACATGTTTGTAATGACAATATAGTGTCGATAATATTTATTGTCAGTAATAATATCAGTAGCAATATGGAATTATTCGTTGTTATTAATAAATGACTTAACTTCGAACACTTTGTGATATTTAGAAATATAAAAAATGTCAATATAGTGTCCATAATATTTGCTGTTTTAGTTCTTCAAAGAAATGTTTATTTGTTAAAAGAAAACTCATGGCGACAGCAGGGCTTGAACTGCAAACCTCAGTCATATAATGCACACACTTAGGCCATCATGCCAAAAGCACTGAAAAAGCCATACGCATATCAATAGAAAGTCTTATACTACTGTTTTTGCTACAGTATATTAATATAATAATATTGTTATTAATTTGTTTAGATACGCGATTCCATATTATATTCCCTGTTAATCAAATTCTAAAAGTATGCTTTTGTTTACGCCGATAATGAGTGAATAGGGAGCAAGTGGAATACTGATGTGTATTTTTTCTTTACACTACCAATACCAGCCATATATAGTTTACATAATATGTTTATGTTACTAAATTAATATAGTTTATGATCATCAGACGGGTTATGCTTCTCTCCTTTTTATGGTCAGCTACTAAAATTTCCCTTTAGTTGTACAATTTTATATATAAATATTCAATACTAATCAGATTAAAACGTGCACAGTAAAGAGATAAAATGATTAAATCTTTTCACTAATGACCTATGCACCACGGTCATTTTGGCCAGCCAATCACATACCGCGGTACACGGCAGTGGCTTCTGGGTAGTTGCATGCGGTACAAGTTTGTACTGTGCATTTTGAATGGCTGCATCTGTATAACAAAGGGTTTGTCAAAATTTATACAAATGCTCAAATACTTCGATTTAAGTAAAATTACAATATTGACTGCTGAATTGAATAATTGAGTACCTCTTTTCTTTGCAGCTTCTGTAAAAATACTTATTCGGGGTACACAATACAAATAATTAAACTATTATTTATGCTTTCTAAATTAATGAGTAGAAGTTGTACATAAAATGTCAATAATAATGCTGTATATTATGCTCAGAATTTAGATAAAACTATGAATATATGACATTGTATATAACAGCAAAGTACCAAGGAAACCTAGAATATCATAAATCCCCGCTCATTTCATAAAAATGCTGGATATTGTTAAGCCAATGGTCATTATTTTGACAGCTGTAGAAAGCAAGAGATTCGAGCCTGAAGTGTCCATTCGTCAAGCCAAGCTTTATTGTATGCATACAAGGAACAACGCATTTGAGGCTTATTGTTGAATTCCTCAGAGGGGATATGGCTCTACACAGCTTATATATACTTTTCTCTACACCCTCCCCCTCCTGTCTTTGAGGTATCATTCTCAAGAAACTCCAGGACTCAGAAAGCACTTTAAACATTCCTTCCTTATCAGGAGTTTAGTACAAACATTCCCTTATCAGGGAGTTTAGTACTGAAGATGGGAGTTCAGTACAGGGAGGGAGAAGCATCTGTGCTAAAGCAAGCGTGAAGGATAGGGTTTAGCATGTGAATTCTGCAGGAGTTCAAAGCTCCAACCACTATATGGATACAGAGTAACATACAGATTCAGCTAGCAGGCTCCATCACAGCTTACATATATGTTTTGTGACATCATTAAAAATTACAAATACAGAATTTGTGTTAAAAGCTTTGAAAATAGAGTTTCCTGACAAATTTAGTTTTTAGCACAGTGTAGACACCGTTTCTTCTACCTTTCCACCAGTTCTTGTTGTAACATGAGTGCAAACATGTTGACCTTAATTACACTCAATAATGTATAAAATAAAAACAAGTTATTTCTGATGCACTGTTTCCAAAAGTGCCTTATAATTATAATGTTGACTCATAAACTCTGTTGAATATGAAACATTAAAAATTAAGTGTTAAAAACTAGAGCTGTAGCTATTCATGTTTTTTAATAGAATTTGCCAGAACCAAAACATGAGGATGCCATTTGACCCAAATAGTTTATTAGTTGTTAGTAGCTAGATGATCTGAGGATCTTATCGAGCCTCTTCTTGAAAGAATCCAGGGCATCAACTTCAATATCAAGTTAGATAGTTCCCATTTTAAATGTGCTTCCCTCAAGATTTTACATATGTCCATTGGTTCGGGATTGGAGCAGATTGAAAGTGCATCAACTCTGTATGTAAGAAAGAAGTGACAGTCTCATTCACCACTGAGTTGAATGTAGTTTTTAGTTTCTGTATTGACTTTGATATTTAAAAGCACGGAGGTCCTATAACAATATACTGTATATAGAAATAATCAGTTTTTTTCTGACTCCTGTTCATTTCTCCCTGCTAAATTGATTCTGTAGTTCCTGTGTTTCAGAGGTGGACCAGTTAGTAATGGACAGCAAAACAGGCCGGTAATTGTGGCTAAACAGTATAGATGGTCAGCACGGCTAGTAGTGGAAATTCCCTTTTTAGTGGTCTGGAGGAACCTCAGCTTATTTTTATACTATATTAAATACTTAGTGGCCCAACAGATATTTATAATACAGACAAAATCTAGTAGGTTAAGCTACACAGTGAACCTGATACAGTGTACTGTACAGTGTAAGGTACGGTATAGGAAACAGCACAGCACTTGAGGTGCCTTTTCTAACCTCCATCAAAAATGCGGCAGACAATTAGAACTTGTATATAAAGTAATTTCGCTGTTATTTTAATTTTCTAAATGGCACCCATCTCTTTTTTGTATTTTCTGTTCCTGTTTCTTCTGTTTCATTCTTGATGAATGTGAAAGGGGGGATATTATATGTCTCGACCATAATTACTGTATAAAAGAAGAGGAAAGTGTATGATGCAGTATACCGTATATACAGTGCCTTGCGAAAGTATTCGGCCCCCTTGAACTTTTCAACCTTTTGCCACATTTCAGGCTTCAAACATAAAGATATA